CCCGTCTCTGAATTTGAAGGCACTGGGTCGACTCCATCAATACTAGAGCGACCAATTGGGAAAAAAAAAGCGAAGATGATCAACCAACTTGCTGCCAAAGATCAAACCTGGAAAGATGAAGTTACAGCTGCTCACAAACAGATTGCCATGGAATCCAAACGACTAAACGACATCTTTGCCCACGATTCGACCTCCATCAATTGCATCTCGGCGCATGGGACGACCGCTTCCGAGCTCGCCATCATGACTACAGATCTTAAAGGTCTTGATGACAAGCAGAAGGAATACTTTAAGCTTAAAAGGGCTTCTATTCTCCAATCACTCCGTAATGAACAGAACTCCAGTAACAATTAGGCTTCCTTTTCTTTTTTTTACCTCCTCATTTGGAACCGATCTGTCGACTGGCTTTTTTTCCTTCTTCATATGAAACTGATTGACTCTTAACGCCTCCATTGAAACAAATCTCTCACTGTTTTTCATGTTCATCTCTTAGGATAACCAATCAGTTGTATTTTCTCTTTATCTCATATGACTCGCGCGACCAAATTTTGAATACTATTCAGATGAATTGCAATCAAACCCAGTGAGCTGGTTACTTTTAATTTCATTTCTGTCGAGCACAAATAAAAAATTTAAGTAATTAAGAACAAGAACATGTGAGCTCAGAATCCGGTTGGAGTCGTAAATTTAATTGTCATCATCATCTTGTCGACCTTTGATCTCCCATTGGTGCTTGATGATGTCATTGCGCAACTGAAAATGAGTAGCCGAGTCTCTCATTGATTGGAAATTATTGATGAAGTCGGCAAAAGAGATCGAGGACCCATCTCGCAAGACCTCAACTGGTGTGATGATGGCACCAGCGGGCGCATCGTCGTAGGCATAGTCTAGATATGCCCCTCGTTCGTCCTCCACAATCATATTGTGGAGGATGATGCATGTCTTCATTATACTCTTGAGGTTATGATGCTTCCATCCTCGTGCCGGACGAGAAACAATAGCAAATCTCGCTTGAAGCACACCAAACGCCCGCTCCACGTCTTTTCGTCGGGCTTCTTGAAGCTTCACAAAGTGTCTCTGGTCGGCTCCGCGGGGTTGCGACAATGTATTGACAAATGTAGGCCAATCGGGATAGATTCCATCAGCAAGGTAGTAACCTTGCTTGTATTCGTTTCCATTGATTGTGTATTCACACCGAGGTGCTCGACCGTGTAGAAGATTCTGAAATAATGGCGATGTATCGAGGACATTAATGTCATTATGTGATCCTGGCATGCCAGATCCACATGTCGTGCGATGCCACAGCCTCAAGAATGACTGTTGGAGTCTAGAAAAGGAGATAGTTAGTGGATTTACAGAGAATCGTGCAGAGTGAGAAGATCTCACCTTTTCTTTTCCTTGGAATTGTCCTGCCCAGCCGGACGGACAGTTCTTCCACCGCCAGTGCATACAATCGAGTGACCCAAGCATACCTGGGAATCCTCTTTTGGCACCTTCAGAAAGCAGTTGCTCCAAGTCGCCCGTGGTTGGGTGTTGAAGATATTCGTCTGAGTAGATGGCTACAATCGCATTGCAAAATCTATCCATGCATTCCAGTGATGTTGACTCGGCTAGTTGAAGGTATTCATCGTTCCAGTCGGCAGGCGCTCTTTATTCAAGCATCCGCAGGGCTGCAGTGATCTTAACCAGGGGCCTCACCCCCAATTTTCCCAACGCATCGGCTTTGAGAGTAAAGTATTTGTCGTGATTTTCAACAGCTTCGGCGATCTTCTAGAATATGGGCTGCACCATTCGAAAACGGCGCCGAAAGAGGGATTCATTGTAGAGAGGACGTGCACAAAAATAGTGCTCCATGAGCCTCTGATAGCTGCCTTCAAGGTTGCGGGGGCGGTTGGGCTGTTTTCCTGGCTTGGATCCACCATGCGGAGGAAAAAGTGAGTCATCAATGTCTTCATCTTCGTCATTGAGTAGCAGAGGCATGATCTGGAGGGCGGTATTGATTGTTGTTCTGAACTGTGCTAGTAGTTGCCTTCGTCGGATCAAGATGCGCAGGAATGCTGGGTTGACCTCCATGCTGACTGTGTTGAAGAAGGATAGCCAAGGTTTTGGGTGGTGTGCCTACACAACTGGCCGATGGAGCAATAGGGGGAATCGGGGGCATGCCCTTTCACACCCTCAAGGTGCTACTTTGAGACCTTGCGGTGTAAAAGAGCAAATGAGTGGGGTTCTAAAATATGCGCCGCAGTTGGCCGAGTTTGATATTTAGGGACTTGGATAGTCCTTTGCGGTGGAGTTGCTCTAAGCTCTCAGTGTCTAGAATCCTTAAGGATAAAAAGGAAAGGATTAATGGTAAGGACACCAGATTGTATTTAGTCAGATACAAGAATGCCACTGCAGACCAAGATGAATGGTTGCCTGAATCCAACATCCCAGATGGACCAGTCCACCTCAGGAGTTACAGAGCTAGTAAGAGAAAGGACTAGTCGTGTTTTTCTTAGTCTTCTAATTTTTGTTATTTTAGTTTCTGCTTTTGCAATTTATTGTTTCTTTTCCTGTACTTCGGTGTGGGGCTCCAATTTTGTTAGGGGGGAAATGTCAGCTTGTCACTGATAAAGCAGGACAATCTGACCTGTTGTGATGATTTTATTAGTCTTATTTTATATATATATATATGTATAAATATATATTAATTGCATTTAAAAGTCATTAAAAACCAGAATCAATTGTTAAAAAGACCTCAGGAGCATGCGCGGGAGACTCCGCAGCAATCACAGTACTGTACTACACCCATGCGTCATCTCCAGCGCGAGTCCTTGAGGTGTGACATCCAGTTTCACAAGATGTCACACTCCTGGGTTGGCATTGGCAGTCATGACCTCATGACCAAGCAGACACAACCGCTTTAGGCCTCGAAACAAGAACTTGACTCCCATACGCCATCAACGACGGACCCAAGGAATATAAAAGCTAGAACAGGTTAGAGAAGAAAGAAGAAGAGCATCAATTTCCACTTTTTTCCATTATTATCATCCAAGAACCTTTGTCAACCATAACTAACACTCCAACCCCTTCCCTCACAGAACACCCCTACCTATTACCTCTGACACGACCATCGTCACCCTGCTGAACCAAACCAGTGTTATCGTCGGGATTAGTGCTAGAGTACCAGACATTAGAGGCGCGACCCGCTACCAAGGACGGACCACTCACCTATAGTGAGTTTCTCCCTCCGAGCCATACACCTCCGTCTCCAATTACTACTACTGCGCAGACTATTACCCCTAGAATCCTCTAGGACCTGTGTCTAAGCCGATTACCAGTCCAGCTCGATATCAGCAACAGGACTAGGCTTATGTTCTGAGGGCATCGTAAATACCCCCAAAATATGGGCCCCTCTTTTCCTTTATCCAACCCACCTAACCAAACCATCCCCATCAACGGGTGTAGCTAGAGGACCATCGGTCTTGGCATCACCCAGTCTGACAACACCCTATAACAACACTTACAATTGTCATACACACTAAACTCACTCTCATACTCTCAAAACCTCTTTTCTCACACTATTAAATTGCGATCAAACAACTTATTCTCAAACCAACCACCCCTATCACTTGATTAAAACTTGCTTGGTGGGTCTTGTTATCTGATAGTACAGAAGGGCAGAGTTTTCAACTCCACCATACCCTTCAACATTCATCAAAAGGGTTCTCACAACCACTTTTGAGTCTTAAAGCGGTGGGCAAATACAGGGGGGGAGGAACAGCGCAAACAATCCCTTGTTTTATTTGTCGGTCCCAGGGGCTGGACTAGACAAGCCAGACTTCACCAGACAGATGGATGGAAACAGTCCCTTCAAATAAGGGTTGTTTGCCGAGTGAGAAGCGACCCGGTGTGGAACTACTCTTGGGAGGAATAGAGCTTGAGACGGATGAGTGCTTTATTGGGCTGCCTCTCTGATAACAAGAAAATATAAGAGTATGGACTCTTAAGGAAAAAGGTGTGGTTGTGGAGATTTCTTGAGGATGGTATGTCTAATATTTCTTATGGTTACTAGTCTAAATAAACTTTTCACAAATCAAGGTATCCCAAATGTTGATGGGCAAATACGTGGCTAATAGTGGGTGATCAGTTATCTTAATTGCTGGGGCAGGATCTGATGAGGAACAAATGAAGAGGAAAAACAAAGCTCCTTATATACAAAATTCTGGGGAGTGGCCAGCTTGTGGTTGGAAGATAAATGGAAAATTCTATGAAGGGTATGAAACAAGGGAAAATATTCATCCAGAGAAAACAGGGGAAACAAGAAGTGGGAAAATGCTCCCAAGTTTACTAGTATGAAACAAACAAGGGGTGGAATATTCCATGGAAGAAAATAGGAGGAAATAGCTGTTTCATGGCCAAGGGGATCTTTACTGGTGTGGAACACAAGGGGTAAGAAGAATAGAATATGTTTGGAGGGGAATGAGTTTCAGGGCTGTGGAGTTTCTGGTGGGAAATATTCTTATCCATGTGGTCTGTGCTTGAGGGGATTCATGATTGGTTTGAGGGTCTGGGGAGATTTCTGGTGTGTCTTGATCCTGTGATTCCTCTGTGATTTGTACTCTTGCTGTGCTTGGATTTTCAGGATTGGCTTACCACACCAGTAGTAATTTGTTTCTACAATGCGGTTAATAGTGGGTTTCAAATTAAGCCCGCGCGCGCATGCATCCCAATTTGCCTAACACAATTTGGCGGGGATGCATGCAAGTAAGATTGGCCAGCCGACATTCAACTGTAGGCTTGAAGACCGACTTGCCTTGCCATGCAAGTCTTGTTGATGTGGCCATTCTTGCTCACCAGCCTCAATACACCCTTTCCACTCATGGACCCAACACCACCCCAAAATTGCTCAAAAAGCTGCCTTCATCCCCGATTCTTCCCCCCAGTCCCACCACTTCACTCAACTCCTTTCAACCCATTTTCAACATCTTGACCTGCCCCAACCCACCCAACTTCCCACCATGCCTCCAAGAAGAGCCCCAGCCCAGCCGATGCAATCCAAAACAAAGAAAAAGGCCATCCCCTGGGACCGAGACGGTGTAAATGGTGGCGACTCCAGCATTGACATTGTTCTGGACTGGCTCTCAACCGGAAACAACTATGAACGATGGCGCGGTGATAATGAGAAAGGCATGACCAAGACCCGGTTATGCTCCGAGATAGTCCACATCATGAACCAAAAGGGTATCCGACATCGAGACACCAAGGGTGAGTATGCCTGAATCTTTATGCCACTTGCTATCCGGCACTAATACTCTTTGCTTTTTTATTTTTCATAGGAGTCCGCCAAAAGATTGGAGATCTCCAATCTTCTTACAACACGGCTCGTGACTTTGTGAAGAACACCGGTGAGGGTATCATGGCTGCAGATGAGCTCAACGGGGTGCACACTGTATACGGTCAGTTCATGTCTCTTGACTTCATCATGACCATGTCTCAAGGCCGCACCTAACCTCCGACTGGGCCATCCAGATCGCATTTATGAGCTTTGTCGTTATTGGAACATCCTTGATCCCATCATGGCAGCCAGATCAGTTACCGAGCCCCTTCACATTCGATCCTCAGTTGGTGGTGATCAACCAGGCCACCAAGATTCAACCAACAACGATGGGACTGACAATACTGCTGCAATTGAAGATCCACCCAGCAATCGAACTAGTTCCCAGTCTCCTGCCATGCCCAGTGATTCCGTGGTCCTCCCTGATGCTTCAGCTTTACTCATTCCACCTCCATCTTTAGCCACAACTGCACCGCCCTTGCCAGCCCACCCTACACCGGTAGCCCATTCTCAAACCAGAAACAAGTCTAAATCTTCCAACCGTTCCACTCACCGAGGTTCATCCCGTCCCTCCAAATATAAAAAGAAGAACAACACCGAGGACCTTTACATGATGTCAATAATATCAAAACGGCAGGCTGAGGTCACCAGGGCACGCGCTGAGGCTAGCAAGGTCAAAGTGTCCTACATGAAGGAACTCAGGGAGCATGGCTTGTCCCTTGAAGAAATTGAGCGAAAGGCCGCTCTTGAGTTCCCCCCCTGTGCTGACATGGATGACACCTTATCCAACGAAAATTCTGAGGATTCTGATTAGTCACTTTTTGCTTTTTGTTTCCTTTTCTTACACTTGTATTCACCTTTTCTTTTTCCCCTCTCTGCAGTATTTGCGACCATTTTCCCCCATCTCTTAAAATCATTGTTGTAATGGACTGAAGTCAATGAATTATGTCATCCACTTGATTAAGCTCGGTGTGAATGGTATGATATCTAAATCAGATCCCCCAATCTACCTGGATCAGCAGCTACCTTGGTTTGCAAAGCCTTTCTTGCTATGAAGATAGGACACCTTTGCGGTTCTTACAACTCTGTGGTATGAGCGATCGACAGGTCAGATGATCCAGGCCATTGACTTGGATCAGTCCATGTCCGTTGGCATTTCTCTCCTCAACCCTTCCTCTTCCATGAGGAAACCTTCACACAACTCTTCCCTGTAATTAGTTGGAACCTCCCTTGCTTGCCTGGTCGCGAATGTAATCGCAAACAGATTGATAATTGGTCGGAACCTCCTTGGTTGCCCAGTCGCAACTGTCATCGCCAAGAGATTGATAATCAGTCGGAACATTTGTAATGACATCCAGTCACGGAATCAACAGCAAAACGACTGACTGCCAATCAGATGGACGATCACCGTCTCACAGGAACTAGACCTTCCAAAGGTGATGATCAAGAAGACCTAGAGATCAATGACTTTGCTCGGATCAAATCACTCGTCGAACGATGATGCCAACAAGAGAATGACAAAGGCTTCGGTTTTGTGAACAGTGATGCTCCAACAATCACCTGTTCCATATCAAACACTAATTTGCAAGACCCCACCCCCTCCTCCTTTTTGCAGCGCCCTAACGCAAAGGTGAGTTTTGAAGAAAGCAAAACATCAAGCCTGTCGGATGGATCGGAAGAAGAAAGATGAATTTATCGATGCCTCCACGATGCTCGACATTGGTGCAGACAGCAATCATGCATTCTCGGATGAGGAAGATGGGATGAATGGTTCTGAGGATTCGGACCAATTGAGTCAACGCAATAATTCAGAAGATAGAAACATCGATCTGGACGAGCTCGAGGATGATGAAGAATCTAGATTGAACCATCTCGCCAAAATCGTCGATAACTTGGACTCGTTAACTGCCCAGAAGCGGAAGGAGAATAGTCTGGATAACTCAACCGATCACCCATCCGATATTTGATTGGAGGGTACTACAAATTGATATTTACCATCTGAGTTTCGTCCGGTTAGTCCTTTAGCCAACTTGGTAGTCTTGTCCCACTTTGACATCTCCTTCTTAGTCAGCTCATAAGCAGCTTGACGCTCTATCTGCTGTTGCCGACGGGTTTCGAGAGGAGCTGGGATTGGCCCGGCTTTTGATAATTTGTCAGACGTAATCAGGGAATTTCGGACTTCTTGAGTTCCAAAATTCCCGCTGTTGAGGATAAGTTTGAGAGTAGATCAATAACAGCAAATATAAAACAAAAAACCGAGGAGAACATGAGCAAAAACGAGAAGCGAGAGAGAGCAAGAGAGAATGAGAATGATCAGTTAAAGGCGATAGGATGGAGGTACAAGAACGTCAAGAGAGACACACCTCAGCTGCCCGCTTGAGCTGAGGAACTTGCTCCTAAGGCTGGAAGTTCTTCAGAGGCTGGGGCAGGATTGCCAGCAGCATTTGATGCAACGTTGGTCTTGGCTGTATTCAGAAGAATATATCTTCAAATTGAGATCGTGATTGACCGCGACAAAATCTTTTAGAACAACCCTGGTCAACGTTAGTATGAGGGGGAATATGATGCTTGTGAGACTCATCATACAAAATGGCTTGAATTTTCATAAACAACGTGGCATGAATTTGAAGAACACAAACAAACAAGACAATGTAGGAAACCAGATTTTTTTTACACTCTGTACATGATGTGATTCAAAAAGCAGGTGGACTAGTAGAAGAGAACAATCAAAGTCAAGGACTTCCCTGATGTAAATCTGAGAAGAGAAAGGGATGAAAGGGTTATGAGTCCAAGTACTCAGTCACTTCACCAAACACTTGATCACGGAGTTGGGTACCCAAGTCGTTGCGAGGCTCTTGGGCTCCATCATGACCATGTATGTCAATGTCATCTACGTCGGTGAAAACATCTGGGGACTGATCTGAAAGGAGGAAGTTATGGAGAATCACACAAGCAGAAATCCAATGTGTGATCTTCTCCATCGTTCCAGCCGAGTTGAGATCCTTCCGAAGGCCCCGCAAGCTTTGGAAACGACCTTTCAATAGACCAATACAATGTTCGTTACACACCCGAAGCGAGCTCAGATGTTGGTTGAATTGCTTTCTGGCACGTGGCATTGCACCATGGGGAGGTCGTTTGAAAGCCGGTACAATGTTGGTTTCCGGTGGGAAACCTGAATCAGCTATGAGGTACTGGCCTGGGCTGAACAGTTGATCTTTTTGAAGTTTGAGCTCGGTATTCTCCCATAATCGAGTGTCGTGACAACAGCCTGGAGAGAAGAAATTTAGAAAAACCTCTGACAGAGCCATGAGTGAATCATGAGATACTTACCAGGCCATCCAGTAACGTAGTACATGATACGTTTTTCTTCATTGCAAACAATCAATGCTGCAAGGCCATATTGGCCCTTTCGAGAGTAGTAGTCTTGCGGATCAATTGAAGGCTTCTCGGATAGGGGGAAAAGGGTGCCATCAATGAAACCCACACAGTTTCTGAAGCCTGTGTGGCTGGATATCTGCCACGCGATCTCTTGGCGTCCTTCGGTGCTGGGCCATGATACATAAGTTCTGGTCCAATACCGTAATAGTTAGCTATATCTGCTCCCGACTTGTTGATGGATCAGAATGTGTTACTTACGATTCTAGTGACAATATGGCCTCAATGACCCTGGAACAGTAGAGTATGACGGTTCCCTCCGATATCCGGAAAAACCGAGCCAACATTCCAACCGAGGCCCCATTGCCATGTGTTCCCATCCGCTTCAATGCCACCATCAATTGTTCAGGTACCGGTTGTTGAGGCACATTTGAATGGTTGTGAAAAACAGGGTGGTCTTGAATTTCCAGGATAAGCCGACAGAAAGACTGCTGAGACATCCTGAATTCTTGCTTGAAGCGTGAGTTATCTAGGCTAAATAGGTATTCAGTGTTGTCAGGGGCACGAGCCAGGCGAAGACGAGGTGCCAAGTAACGATTTTTCTTGATTTTGATGAGAGCCACAATGGCCTCCTCCAAGTCACTGTCTTCGCTCGAGGTGTCGCTGTCATCATTCAACGCGGATTTGATGAGCTCCCCATGTACTTGATTTTGTATGAGGCGGGTCATTTGCATGAGTGTCGATCCTCTTTCCGTGTGTCGTGGCATGAGGGGTGAGTGCTGATACTGGACGGTGATGAGGTTCCTTGAGGTCCAACAGACAGTTTGGGGTGGGGGGGGGGTGATGAGTGTGGGTTTGGTTTTGGCGTTTGTAGTAGGTTGAAATTTTGTCTTTGGGTGGGGGTTCAATGTTAATCAAACGGTGTTGGATGATCCAGTTGCCAAGGAGTTGAGCTGAGTGGTTCGGCAGGGCTGGTCCAACCCCAAACTGGGGTGCTCAATGTTGTTCTTGTTTTTGGCGGGGGGCAAGTTGTCCTGCCAGATCATTTGCATGCATGGGAAATCCTACTTTGAATCCCACTAATGATGCTACTACATGCATTGGGAATTCATAAGACTTATGGTCAATAGGACAACATGAACTACAAGCCTTGGCAATGATTAAGACAACATCAGGCATGAAAATAGGAATTGAGAAGGGCTCTAGGGGGCCCCTGGTTAATTTCGGCGGGAACCCATTGTGAGGTTGGCATATTGGCGCAGGAGGAGGCTGGGATCTAAGCCGTGTTAAGAGCGGGTAATTTGCTAGATCTTATTTTGGCTGCAGGTGTGAAAACTTCAGCGGATGATGACAGTCCGGGATGTCCGACTGGAGTGAGTTCGAGGATAGGCCTATCTGTATGACCTGATACATACCATACAGGCCAATAGCAAACCAACTTGTGTATTGCTTGCGAAATTAAAGCATTTACAATCAGGGCCTTTTTTCTTTTTCCTTTTTTCCTTTTTTCCTTTTTTCTTTTTTCTTTTTTCTTTTTTCTTTCACTTGAAACATAGCTTCATATCCCGCACTGGATGTGCAGTAAAATAAACCTGGATATGTAGCATTTTTATATTTTTTTTGTTCACCTCTTCACACCATTTTTTTTTAAAAAAAACACTGAATATCCAGTTTTTTTACTTCATATCCAGTACTGGATATGAGGTAGTGTTGAAAGTGTTTTTTCTTTTTTCTTTTTTCTTTTTTCCTTTTCTTTTGGGCATTAATAAAAAAACACAGTTTTTCCGCTTTTACATGCGGTTTTGCTGCGGCACAGCGCATGCGGTTTCTGCGTTTACACACGGTTTTTTATTTAATTTTTTACCACTTATTTTTCAAGTTTTTTTGAATTTTTAAAGTTTTTTCCTACACTTTAAAAGGTGTAGAATTTGATGGTAAAAACCATTTTGCATAAGGGCCTTAATAAAAAAACACGGTTTTTCCGCGTTTACACACGGTTTTGCTGCGGCACAGCACATGCGGTTTCCGCGTTTAAACACGGTTTTGTAATTAATTTTTTACCGCTTATTTTTTGAGCTTTTTCAAAATTTTAAAATTTCTTCCTACACTATGAAAGGTGTAGAATTTAATGGTAAGGTCCATTTTCCATAAAAATGACTTTGATTTTTTTTTCTGCTCACACATATTTACAATTAAATGTTACTGGCTTGTTTTTCACTATTTTTTGACATTGTGAAATTGTTTCCTACACTTTGAAAGGTGTAGAATTTAATGGTAAAAATTATTTTTCATAAAAATGATTCCTTCGCGTTTTAATTTTTTCTCCCACTCATTTTATTGATGCAAGCACAGTGGGAAGTTCCTGGTGGTTATTCAACCTTCCGAAATTGAATTTATCAATGGGAAAAGGTAAAAAATGCTATAATATTCTAGTGAGACCAAAGTTGGATTTACAAAAGAGTGTGGGCATAAACAAGTGTAGTTTGGATTTTAAAATGAGAAGAGGGACAATAGCAGGAAATCAGAGGAAGGTACCGAGAACAGTAGTGAAAAAAATTAATCAACTTCAACAGGAGCCTTTTTGAAGCGCGTAGATCTTCTGAAAGGTGGGTACAAGACTTCTTTACCCAGCTCAGTGTGGGCTTGAATATAATCCTCCCAACCCAGCACTTCATCCCTGACATAGTGACTCCAAAATGTATCAATCCTGGGGCATGGCCATATTTCAGCCTTGAAAGTGAACAAGATGAAATGAGAATAGTCAGGTAAAATGATCAGACAGATGGGAGGGTTGGAGCAAGATGAAGATGAGTCGCAGGCATCTGTTCTGATAATAAAATAACCGGTCTTTGGTACGTATCAGCTATTAAATATCCATGGGCGGGGAACGTCATCCAGTACTTGAGGGGGGCTTGCTGTTCCTTGTCTCTCCATGCAAGAGAATCAACAATGTCCTTCTGGTAGTCCCCTGCTCCCCATACATTATCCAAAAACTTTTGGTCTGAATAGGCCTTGTTCGACTCGAATTCCTTCTGCATTTCTTTGCGGATTGAGTCCCATTTGTCAGACTTGCGGCCCAAGCTGACGGCAGCCGCTCAAAAGCCACAGTTCCCATTGCCTTTGACGTTGTTAACGTGTAAGATGTGTGGGATTACTCCTGCTGGCTCGATGCTGTCTTTGTACTCATACTAACAAAAGTTCAAGAGGGAAACAGAGGGTATGAACAATCAGAAAAAGGAGTAAGTATATGGGAAAACGATTGACTCACAAGATCAATATCCACATTCTTGTGTGTACTCCAAGTAAGTGCCTCGCTAAAAGGAGTTTTGTCAGGTTTGTCTGCTTCAGTGATGGGTTCAGGTTTTGGCTTGAATAATTTGATTGGCCTAATTTGTAAGGGTTTGGTAACAGTTGGTAGCTTGGGTTCTTCTTACAAGTGCTCCTTGTTAGTGAAGATGTTGTCACAAAGGGCTCCAATTCCATCTGAAGCATCATCCTCACTCTCTTTGTCTGTTTCCATGGCCTGCTCAAAAATGAATCAGACACAGAAAAAATCTTCAGATGGATATAAGCAATGCGCACCTCTGACTCA